GCCCTAGGTTGAAAACCCCAAAATCACACAAAACTAACTACCCATGTAATGCATAATATCTGAAACAGAACCTCCGGCCTTTCTGTATTTGCTTTATAATCCAATGTGAACACTGGGTATCCTGTCAATTTTATGTTCACTTTATCTGACCCCTGTAAGCGGAAATCGACTCCAACATTCAAATAGTAAACTTTTTTGATGATTTTAGAAAAGGAGACTTGGAAGGGAGAGAAACAGATAAAGTGAGGGCGAGACGAAAAGAGAGAGAGCGGAAAAGCTTGCACCTCCTTACACCACTCTATATGATCCACAATGGCGGCAGTGCTGAAATCCAAACAGTATCAGACTCAATGTAAACAGTATTTACTGGTATAATAATATGGGCAGGGCCCAACAGACGCTCGATTGTCCAACCCAGAGAAAATCACCCTTTTTTTTGCTCTGCTGAGGACACAAAACGGCTTTTTCTGGCACTTACTCTCTCTCTGTCGTACTCTCTCTCTCAGTGGCTGATGGCTGAATTCCCCCGTGCCCCCGTGTTCCCCTGTGGCAGTAAATAATGTTTTTTCTCTGAGCACTGGCGGGACAAAGACTCCTCTCTTCTCCTCCAGGGTCAGCACATATCACTGTAAGAACAGGAGCTGGGGGCCAGGCACAGCACACAATGCCTGACTTTATACCACCTTATTACAATGCCAAAAGGTTAAAGACGTTAGGCTCCGGGGGCATTCAGAAACTCGTTAGACACAAAAAGGAAAACCCAAACAATGGATAAATTAAAGAAATGTTCAGAAAAAAAAAAGAAAAACACAGTCACTGCTGCAGCCTCAGTGACATCTATAGGTCAAAATAGTCACACAATTCAATGTTTATAATAAAACAACTAGACATGATGGAAAAGAAGCACAGACACGGCAAATCATATAATAGCAAGATATGTCAAATTTGAGAAGTTTTCTTATGACAGCTTTGTATGAGGAATCAAAATGAGAAAAGTCAAGTCAAATTTATTTGTATAGCGATTTTCACAATACACACTGTTTCAAAGCAGTTTTACAGAAAATCATGATGTTAATGTTTATAATATCTTTATGCCTTGTTGTATTTAGCAGATTACAGCTGTGCTATAATATATAGTGTATATAATACAGCAGTTGAGATATGCTACGTATTATATAACATTCTACATGAGATTACTGTATGTATGAGGATAAAATTGGACATGTTTATATATGTCCTTTATATAAGAGCTGGGTGATTACATTTTGTGACAAATAAAAAGGAAAAGAAAATCAGGCAGTCTGCCCTAGCTGTCAAGTGTTCATGACAGAATGAACGAATCATTCATATAGGTCAGAATGATATCAATTAACCAATTTTTTTTCTGTTAACAAAACCAGTCTAAATGATTCGTTAACAAACCTGACTAATCTAGATCACCAATTCCAGAATTCGCTGACTCAATCCAGTCGTAGTGGTTTGCAGCTTACTGGAGGGAAACATTATTACAGAATGACCACTAAAACGTTGGTTCATTTCTCATACAAAACAAAACAGAATCAATACACAAATTTTAATAACTACGATTTTTAAGAAAGAACTAATTTTGATTAATTTTATATGCCTGGTATTCACAATTGTAAAAAATTCCACATTTCCAGATTTTCTATAACTGTAGGAACAAAAGAAAAGTAGTATTTAAAGGAATAGTTCACCCAAAAATGAAAATTCATTCACTCTAGTCTATACATCATACACTCATTTTGGTAACCAAACAGTGTTTGGTTTCCAGCATTCTTCAAAATACCTTCTTTTTTATCTGTTAAGCACAAGAAACTCAGAGGTTTGGAACAACTTGAGGGTGAGTAAATTACGACAGAATGTTCATTTTGGGTGAACTTTCCCTTTAAAATAAAACGTGAGGCTTAAAATAAATAAATGCATCTTTCGTCGGATACTTCTAAAACAAAACCAAGAAACAGCATGTGACAAGGCCAAGATGATGACAAAATACAAATCTGGTAAACCTCAGACATTAAGGATGAGGTTTCCCTTGTACTTATTTCAGAGTTCGGCGGCTTCGGCCTAGACAAGATGACATTTGTGAAGTTGACGTGGTTAGAAAAGGACTTCACAATGAGACGCTACATCAAGATTATTAACAAATCTAGATGTTCGTTCTTTCATGGTGATATGAGAGAGCGGTTAATAATACACATCTTTCTAGAGCGGAGCTGCAAGAGTTCCACAGCCTGCGGCATCTTCAACCTATTTTTAAACAATCTTGTGATCTGTATATAATTTTCACCCATAAATGTCTATCTTTTCTCTCCTCCCCTCTCTCAGACACTGGCATTCAGTCAACAGTTATTCCACCGTGAGCGTCTAGATGGCAGTCTGCACACACGCTTGGCTTGGCAGCAGCACGTAGGTCTCTGGGTCCCGCCGAGCAGAGATCCAGCTGGCGGCGGGCGACTCAATGGGGGCACTTGAGTGAACCGTGCCATCCTACAGCCTGCAGTATGGTGCCAGCCACCCACTGAATGCACAGGCTGGAAGTCGCCATGCCAGGCTCCATTCATAATTATGTGCCTTTGAGAAAAACATGACCTCGTGTCCAAGCTCTTACATTCACACACCCTCTAAATAAACCGTCACAGATTGCGCTCCGTCTGAATATATTTGTTCTTAAGACTCTGGTGCATTCATGAGCGCTGACCGTTGAGGAAGGAGAAATGGACGGCGGACACAATGAGTGTTCACAAATGCCTTTTGTTGCCCCAAGTTTCAATTCCTGTTAATGGGTCAGATTTTTTTGCTGTTGTGTTTGTGTGCGTTTCTGTTCAATTTCTCTCTCTTTCAGGCTAAGGCGACTGAGGGAAATCTCAATACAGCTAAATGCGTAGTGTAACACTTTACAAACTCTTCAAGCGAGACAGACAAACAACAAGAACTGTTTGTTGCATTTTCAATTGTGGGTGTCAACGGTTTAGTGCCCAACGCTGTGCCAAGGTGGTTGGCCCCGCTATATACCTTCACACCCCAGTGAAGAGTGCACAACAATGAAAGCTGTCAACTACTTTTCTTACCCACAATACAACTGGCAGAATTTAACTGGTCGATGGAATGCTGAAAAGCTTTACATTCAGCCTAAACACACCATGAGTAAGTTCACTGCGATCCAAAGTGGACCAAACTAAAGACACTGGGAAAAGGACGGAGGGGGGGAGAAGAAGAAAAACTTGCTTGTATGAAATAGTGGTGAGCATCTAAATAATCCTACCGCTGGTCACAAACACGTCGCATTAAACAGTATTTTTAGGGCACTGTATTAACGCACTGAAATGTGGCCAGCGGCGCAGAACTCACAGTTGGCTACATTCGTGCTGAGTCCTATAAAAAGCTCCCAACTTTGTTGGTTGTTCTCTTCCATTAACAAGGTCATCAACCAACCGCTATGAAAACCCCCGCAGTAAACTTGATTGTTTGATTTCCTGTGACTCTGGTGTTGAAATGGCACGAAGGGGGTAATTGCTGGGGAGCAGACTTCCAGAGGGAAATGAGATGACAGCCTTTTCTGCACTGCTATTTCACCGCAATTATTTCCGCAACACACTTTAATTCTCACTTTCTTTTTCCTCCCCGTGTTTTTTTTTTCCTTTTCTGCACTGCTATTTCACCACAATTATTTCCGCAACACACTTTAATTCTCACTTTCTTTTTCCTCCCCGTGTTTTTTTTTTCTTCCCTAACCCTAACCCTAACCCTAAAGTAGCAAAAAGAATGGTTTTAAGACATGGTACCAAAGTGATGTACAATAAATATACAATAAATGTTATATACATTACAGTGATGCACAATAAATACTACTGTAGTATATATATTCTTAAGAAAGAAAGAAAGAAAGAAAATTACAAAAAATTTATTTTAAAAAATCTACCCAATTCCAAACTTTTGAATGTTAGTGTAATATATTATATAACTATACAAAAAAATAATAACAAGAAGAACAAGAAGAAAAGTTTGCATTTAAAAATCATAAACAATGTCTTACAGGCCTAGTGAACTTCCACTAAAATCTAAAACTCTTTCTGTCATATTTCTAATAACTGCCGATCACAAAAATTACATTATATTATAATACAGTGTGTATGTGTACACATACACACTGTATTATAATGTAATTATTTGTGATCAAACTATTTGTCTACTATAATTACATATATATATTAATTTTATTAATGATAGTAGACATATAACATTTTATTGTATTACACTATAGCGTTCCAGAAGCTATAAATGCAATACCTTTAGAGTGATAAAGGTGGATCATATCAATATTGCTTTGTCCTGTCGTGTAACAATTCCTCAAGATTTAAATTTTGTGCTTAATTTTCTCAAAATTTCCACTTACACTGGGCTGCACCAGACACTGAAGTGTCCACCTAGGCTAACTGTGGAAGAGATCATGCACTGATTCCTTTACACATAATTGTCAATTATGAAATTAAGCTAGATCAATATTACAGTGCAGGATTTTGTGTTCAGTAGTTAGTTTGCTGATTAGCCAGACATAAAATGGAAGAGCAGACTTCTGATTTGACTAATCAGATGAACAGACATGATAAGAGCTCTACCAAAGACCCTACAAGCCGAAACACACGCTGCTCTGACATTTCCCCCTCGATTCCTTAACATTCAGGGAACCAGCAGCAGCCACAGCTGGGTCTCATTATAACTTAGAGATGAATGGCCTTTTGAGAGGAGGCCAGTTTCATTTTACAGGGACATGAAAACAGTAACCACCTCGTTCGGGCCATCAAGCTCAGCCGGGTCTTGATTCAGGTAATGTGCCGTCTTTGGAGTTTACCAGAATTAATCTCTACTCTAAAGACTACCACATGCAATTCGATGGAGTGGAATCTCTGCCATTATCTTGTAAAAGGAAAGCCTGAGTTGATGGTTTTAGATTCATAAGAATCAACAAATCAACATCATACCTTTGCAAGATCCCATTTTCTTGTGGTATCACTCCATTGATGGCTGCCTACAAAGAAAACATAAATATATTTTAATGAGAATTCAAATTATTGATGAATACAAGAAATAACTGTTAGCCTGAGTTAAAATCAAAAGTGACATAACATGAAACCTTTTAGTCAATGTATGTGAATGTATAAAAGGAAACATATTTCAGATGCTGTAACTAGTCATCATTTCTTTTGATGTTTTAACACAGCATGTCTGAATATGTGTACATCCTTACTTCATAGTATGCAAAAGAACACAGTTTATGAATGGCCGAGAAGTAATACAGAACATACTCCACAGTATGCAAATTTGGTGCACTGTTAATCACCCTGCTGTTTGCAGTTTATGTAAATAATCCTGCAATGTGACACAACTTGCACAAATGTAGTCTTTCAATTAATATGAAGTCATAAAAACTCTTGACTAATGAGGTCATAAATTCTTGTTTCATAGATTCATTTATTTTACACTACCATTCAAAAACGTTTTTTGTAAATAAAAGCCTTTTAAAAAATTATTGTTTTATTCAGCAAGGATAAACTGTTTATTCATCAAAGAATGCTGGAGAAAAATTTATTATGGTTTCCACAACAGGCAACACAACTGTTTTCTACATTATAGAAACATTTCTATAATATCTACATTATAGATAATAATAAGAAATATTTCTTGAGCACCAAATCAGCATATTAGAATGATTTCTGAAGGATCATGTGACACTAAAGCCTGAAGTAATGGCTGCTGAAAAAAATAGCTTTGCATCACAGGAATAAATTACATAAATTAATAAATAAATAATAAATAAATTACATATTAAAACATATTAAAATAGACTATTATAATACATTGTTATTCACAATACTGCTGTTTTTACTGTATTTACTTTTGAACTGTAGTATATAATAAATAGACGAGAATCAATTTACTTAAGATATGGCATAGCATATATCATATCACACAGCAGGACATAAGCGCTGTCATTACTTGAAATTTCACATCAACTACCTAAATAAATAGTGGTCTAAATACACTGCTCCTTTTTTTAAAATGATAATGCAAATAACAGAGATACACAGCAACCCAAACATAAAACACATAAGCAGTATCCAGCAATGTGGGCCACATATTTCCCCCTCTCTTTCTCTCATCAGACTGAAGTGGAATGCACAGAGATGGGCCTGATGTGTTTGTGTCTGTGCGTGTGTAAGCAAGTGGGTTTTGGAGCCAGACTGTGATAAGGAGACTTACTCTTGGTGGATACAAATCTGAATGGAATGGCTTCTGATTGAGCCAAATAACAAAGTGTATACAGAGACATACATCGCAACGCTTGCTATGCTCTGAAATTTTTTCCATGCCGGTAGAGGCCACAGAAATTATGTTTTGTCTGCTGTAGAGACAGAACATCAGATATTTTTAACCCTTTAACGGTTGCAAATATGTAGACGTCGACGAAGTGCTCTACACATCTAAGGCCATTTGACTTCTCATGAAAGATTTGCTCAGGTGCAGCCCAGTGTTTGTGTGATCAAGTGTGTGCGCGGCACACATCCTGGTTTCAGCGTGGGGTGTTCAAACACTCGCTGGCTGTCCTGTCTCTACATTGTTTGACTCAATCAATCTCACAACCCTGAGTAGAACAGCGAGTCATCACATTCACGTGCACTTAACCACGCCGTGGCTCAGGCCTGTTTTCTTTGAATTGCTGCCAGCATACAACCAACTTCCTGCTAAATATAGTAAAACAGCCTGCTTTTAAGATAAAAAGCAACTTTGTGTTAAATATCGCATGCGATTAATCGTGCAGCCCTAACGTGCACTTAACCACGCCGTGGCTCAGGCCTGTTTTCTTTGAATTGCTGCCAGCATACAACCAACTTCCTGCTAAATATAGTAAAACAGCCTGCTTTTAAGATAAAAAGCAACTTTGTGGAGGAAAATCTGTCTGCAAAACCACAATTTCTTCATTTTGTTTGAAAACTGTCGCTTTAGATCTGTCCTGACACTGCATTCTTTATACAGCCATTACTGTCTGTAAATACGAGATGGCTTGAACCCTATTTTAGGGTCGAGAGTGGGTCACATGCAGTCCCTCATGCAAAATTGCACTACGGAAACTGCTAGAGGACACGCCCTCTCTTACATTCACCCAATCAAAACAAGCTCTGCACGTCTGCCTTTGTCTGTGGTGTGACACCTGTCACAGCTGCATATTTTTTAGGCTCTAGAGGTGAAATGTTTGTGCGGCGGCGAATGAAAAGTGATATACCAGACTATAAATCACCAGGATGCTTGTAAAAAGACTAAGAGGACTTCAATTACAATTTCCACACCATGTATTCAAAGGGAGGGATGGGCTCCTGCAACAAGGCATTTTTAGGACCGTTTTGATCTGTGTAAATGACCTGTTTGCAAAAGATAAGATGAAAGGCTATAAAAAGGTGAGCATCTGCAGACTAGACTGCAGCAGACATTAATGTCTGTTCAAATAACATTATCGATTGAAACAGACACTCAGACACATAAGCTCTGCACAGTAGGAGCAACAAAGATGCTACTATTTGTTCACTAGGAGTGAAACAGTTCCAGCTTGAAAAAAAGGTACAGATCTTGTCCCTTGTTTGGGCATGCATTTCGCTACTGCAGTGTATTGTCTCTAATGACGCCTCTTTAAAATTACATGTATGAACTGTAATGTTATTCTATGTATCACATAATCAGCATACAATTAGAGAGAGAGGAAAAAGAAATGCAAACTGATGTAACAAATGAAACAAAAAAGCTAATTTGAGTATTCTTGATGGAGTAGCAGCAGTGAGATTGAATCAGACTGAATTAAAGATGCAAACTGATAGAAACGGTTCATTCTCATATTGTGATAACTGATAATAGCAAATTCCAGTTTATCCTGCAATATCAAAACTTAGTCCTGTTTTCGCAAAGGTTTAGTTATCAGTGATTTATATAACCAAACCTAAACAAAATCCTAAAAAGAGCGCAAATAATTCAGTTACTAATGCTTTATCATTGGATCAGTATTATATAGACTGTTTATATGCTTGAATGTAATAATCTTTCACAATCTGTAACATAATTTTACAGTGCAGTGCATTCTCATGTAGTATGTTGTTTAAAGCTCTTAACAGCTTTTAAGGTGCAGTGCGTGACGGTCACAGAATAACCGCACATTTAAATGGACTTGAGTTTATGAATGCACTCACACATACACACAGAGACTGTTTACTGACACGTTTATTATGATTATGAGTTGAAATTAAATTAAATACCTGTTGTCTTTGTTGTATTGTCTGTCCCATACTGTTAGTGGTTCTACAGGGAAATGGTGGAGGGAATCTTTGGTCTGAATCTACTTTGGTCTTTGAATCTACTATTGTTAATTGAACATGGGGGTTTCATGAACAACTCGTCCGCGTTGTCCATGAAACAATCTACAAGCTACAATCTTGCTTGGTTCATTATAAAGATTTATATTATAATATATTATCTGAACCATTCCCCCATGCATACCATAAAATGACACCACTACACAATCATGACTCAAAGTTTTAGAAAGAAGTGCTAGAACTGTTACTGATGACCCCCCAAAAAAAACTAGATACATGATGCCCCGATTATAACCCAATTGTTCACAGTGTCAAAAATAAAAATAAAGCCTTGAATTACAAACATGTCAGACTAGGTTCTTCTGCTGTACAGAACTGTGCCAGAATGTCCTGTGTGAACAATGGTACCAATAAATAGCCTTTGTACTAAACATAGTGGCTTTGTCTCCGATGCATCACCACAATCCACAAACAAACAATAAACAGGAGACACAATCCCTTGTTAAAACTGTTTGTGGTTTGAAACAAATCTAGCTGTGTGTCAGTCTTACAGATTTAACAAATAAAGTGCATCTTACCACCAAGTCCCAGTTATTGAGTTCTAGAAGTGTGATCGCTTCAGCAATGTTGTCGATTCCGGTACATGCCTGAAACAAAACCAACAAACTGGTTTTGATATTTGCATATTAAAAATAACAAACCAAAAAGTCCTCTTTTTATATTGAAAGAATGAAATAACAGAACAGGCCAAAAATACATTTCTGAGAATGAGAAATTAATTTCTAATTTTTTGCACGCTACATAAATATGCATTATGCACTGAATATATTCATGTACAGTGTATATATATATATATATATATATATATACACACACTAAATATTTACGTACGTCAAGCTAAATATTTCTTCAATATAACAAAGGAAAAGCTATTAAATTATATGAGAGATGTTTATTGTAAACCTGTAAGTTTATAGTCACAATGAAACAGTGTATATAAGCAACCTTCAATTTTGGTGAATGCCACCTTAAAATATTTGTAATTGCTACATATTTCTGATCTCTTTCAGTTTCTATGAAATAAACATTTTGCAATTCAAAACACATATTGTCAACACTCGTAAACTGACTCATATTTAAAATCTCAAGGTAAACAAACTGAAAAACATGAATGTGACAGGTGATGGCAGTGTAGAAACAGAGAGAACCGTACAGGGTCATCTGACAGCTTCTGGCCATTACAGGGTCATAAAAACACAGATCAGGCTTCAGATGACAGTCCAGTTATGTTTTCTAGTCCCAGATGAGCAGACGACACCAAAATGATGTATTTTAGGCTGTCTATTGTTCTTTTGTCTAGTCATGTGCTTTCCGGATTTCATTTTTGCTGAATCATTCAAACAAAGCCACTGACAGCTGATCACCCGGAGAGATGTCAACAAAAAGAAGTTACTTAAATAGCCGTTACCCGGCTAGCACCGAGCAGCTACAAGAACGGGTCTGATCTACACATCCAGAGCTTATCAAATCACAAATTATCAGTATTTATGTGAGGAAACTCACCTGAAAGTCGGCCAGGATCATTTCTCTGTCCATGTTGCTGTCGGAGGCCATTGCAGTGAGAGGCTAACGACTCATGTAAAAACCCCCAAAAATATCAACCTCCGATTTCAAAAGAGCAGCTCAGGACACGGCTTATCAGTGTGCGGCAAGTAACTGAGTATAAATGCTGCTCTTTGGGGCCGTGTTGTCAGTGTTAGGTGGCTTTCAGTTTTTCTGTTATCGTCACTTTGCTGTTCTGGATCGGCGTTCAAAGCAACGGAACATCTTACGGCTGCCGTAAAGAAGTGCCGTGAACTGTCGCGCCCCTCTCACGGTTGGAAAGAGCTGTATATTTTTAAAGCAGCAGCAGCAGCAGGGCCGCGGTTGAATTTGAATCGACTGTCGTACAAGCGACATGTTTTGACTACCTTATGACATTTTACAACAAAATAAATCTTTAAAAATATTTTCTGAAACATGTTTATGGGTACTGTAGGCAGTACTAAAACAATGACTGTTTTGTCAGTACCAATTTTTCAAAGTTCACTACCTGACTGCCACCCCCCAAAATTATTTTTTTTTGTAAACATGAAGATATAACACAACCATGATGAACAACCAAACGTTTGTAAGATTTTAGAAAAATCTTAAAATTTAAGAAGGGCTGATTTCATTTTACTAATGGATACTCTTGACTAAACTCACAGGTTTCCTTTATGTCAACTATGCTGAAAAAAGAATTAAACCAGTTTAAGTTGGTTTGCTGGTCTTAGCAGGTACATGCAAGCCCTACCAGACTGGTTTTAGATGGGTTTAGAGCAATTTTAAATGGGTCAAAATGAGAAATTAGCTTGTCAAACAGCAGAGCACCATCTTAGCCAGCTAGAACCAGGTAAAACCATACTAAACCAGCAAACTAGAGACATCTGTTGCAATTCAACTTGCTTAAACATTAACCTACAAATGTAAATCTTGTCTCAAAGATAATAATAAAACAAAAACATCAACAACCCAGTCCACACTGGACTTAGCAGGTATGCCAGCCCTACAATGCTGGTTTTAGAGGTGTTTAGATCAGTTTTCAGTGAGTCAAGCTGAGAGGCCTTGATCTAGGCCAGGCTAGGAACCAAGCTAAACCAGAGCCTAAGCTGGTTTGCTGGTCTCACAGCCTTGCACAGTGAAAAGTGCCCAAAATCCTCTAAAACCCAGCAAATCAGTAGGCTAGTTTAGTTTGTATGAGCAGGGATGTAGTTGTATGTCTCAGTATAGCCTACTACTAATATAATAGTGTGCACTGTTAATGTAAACACATTAGGCTAGCTATTGCTGTGCTATATGGCTTTAATTCAAATGAATAAACAAAACAATGAGATGGAGAAATATTGAAAAACTGGCCATTTTCAGACAGGTTGTAGGCTACTTGTGATGCGATGGAGGGTTTCATCTCGGCAGTTTACATGACTGAATATAAACCTTGCACTTGTCTTACACCCTTTCATCTTACCAGTCATTTGAATAAATTTCACTTCAAACACACATTTATGGAGAGAGGAATTTTATATTGGTAATACCAACACTCCAAAGCCTTCACAGCTCAAGGATGAATGTTTATTTAACACACGGCAGAACCAGTGAGAAGAAAGCAGAAAGTGCATCTCTCAGCAGCCTCTCCCCCAGCAGCAATATTACCGTTGAGTCCCGCCTCGCTCCGCGTCTGTTAGTAAAAGTGGGCGGAAGTGCCGGCCCTTTATTTCAAAAACGGAGTGATGTTAAACAACAGCGGCAGACTCTTATAACCAGCTCATTCAACGCCCATAAACCGGTCGAAGAGGATAACTCGTAGCCTAACCATTCTGCAGGTAGTGGATACAGTGTTTCATTTTAAACGATCCATTATGACGTCGTCCATCATCGGCTGAGTCGTCACAGTGTGACTACACCTCCGTGCGCGAGGAACCACTACGACAGAACGTTTGTAGATATTCACGCCTGCAGTTCGACATGCGTGATCGCAGACCGAAAACCTATTAAAGCTTCTGTCTACGCGTGTCAGTTTGAAATACCGGACTAGTATCAGTTAACAAGTTTTGATAACCCTCACGCCAGCGTTATTTGATGTGCACATCAAAGAATATTCGCTTTTGACGTTTCATATTCAAAATGGGCGGGAAGCTTGCATAAAACTTACAACACGTCCTTGCAAACCCAACTGGATGCATAATAACTGGATGAATTTCCTCGCGAAATAACAGTCTTCTCACTCTATTTATCTGTTTCAGAGGTCGTTCGGAGGCTTGAAATGACAACATCTGCGAATGTCATGAACGCATCGCAGTTCTCCAGCCCGTTGCACCTGCATATAGTTAATATCAGAGGACTCATGAAAGGAAAGTTTGGCTCTCAGATACGAGCATTTTTCATGTGACTACTACGGATCTGTTTGAATGTGAGATCGTATCTGGACCAAGACCACAGGAGAGCTGCATGTCATTCATGGACACGGGGAGGAACTTCGCACATTGATCATATAAAAGCTTTTTTTATTCCATATAATTCTTGATTGTGCCTATATTTGATAAGAGATGGCATGGCATCCCTGTTTTCTCCGATGGCTTTGGTAGGACGATATTAATGTGGGTGGACCTTGGCGCATCTCCAACGGATATTTGTTAGGGGTGCTGGAGGATCGGGCTATTTACTACAGCTTTGTAGTACTTTTTACATCTAAACCAGCGGACATTTTTTTAAAAGGCAAGCATCAGAGATATTCTACCTCCTTTGTCAGTATATAATGGCCGAGGACACAGCTATAGATAGGCTGAGCACTGCAGCTGCGATTGGAGATCTGAAAGAAATTGAGCAGACACTGCAAAGCAACCTCAACGTTAATGAGAAGAACAAGTACGGCAGGGCACCATTGCAGGTTAGACCCACATCTCCACGAACGACTTTCATATCTAAACACGATGTTTATAATGCATAGTGCATAGAGCCTCAGGAAAACATTTTGTCCTTTTCTTTCTTGCGGTCACTAGCAGTGGCCTGGTTGATTTGCTTCTATCTAAACCAGTGTTTTTTTTATAAAGTTTACCTGCGAACCAGCAAGTACGCACCTGTTGATCTGACAAATGATCTATATTTTATTTATGCCAATAAATTAGCGTCACTCGTTTTCTGATACATAAAGAATTTATTGTGGAAACTGAAAATTGTTTTATTACACCACAGTCAGCTCACGAGCTAAATTAAATCTGACATTAACGAACAGTTTTTGGCAACCTTTTACACTTAAATTAGGATAATTCAGATATCATTGTATTTGTTTCTATACTTTTTATACAATGTAAGTGTAACAACAAAGTTCAAATGTGTTTTTAATGATCATGGAGTTTCTGTTTTAATAGGCAATAAGGCCCGAAGTGGTTGTAGATGCTTATGTTTATTATTTCCTTTTTTGGCGAAGGATAAAATTCTAGAAATCAATAAAATAAATAAATTAAAATCTAGATGCTGATATAGATGCTGTTTTTGCTTTTTTCAGATAAACATAAAATGTTCTGCTTATCAGAAGGCCGGCTGGACTAACACCAAGCTCAATATAGCTGTTTAATTTCGGTGAAATATTCAGATATTACTCATGTTATCGTGTCATATTCACAATATATTCTCTTGGCTTCAGAATGAGTGATAATTTGAATACTGGGTAATCCCCATCCTCGATGTTCAAAGCCGTATAATGCCAATTTCTATATGTGGCATATATTTATAGGTAGCCTACATGACATATAAAATATTCGTGATTTTTAGTTTTAACAACATTACGATTTTAGGTTTAAAAATTATATGAGTGAATAAGGAAAAGTGTATGTTTTAGGTGCTGCGACTGGTCACTGCTTTTTAGGTTTTGACCGTTTTATCACCTTTTACCTTCACTGGGTCATTTTAAATGGGTGACAACTGGAATTTATGAAAATAAGTATTCCATGTGGTCTCTTAATTAATATGAGTTGAAAAAAAATGCACGCATAATAATTATCCGAGAATGAGCTGTGTATTGGAGCCTTACCCATATTAAACAATTCGTGTGATGTACTGGTGAACTTCCTCGTAAAAATGTCCATAAACACAATTCATAATATAGGGTATTTTTTTCCTGGGTATGTCGATTAGGTCTGCCATCTCTTCATAACTTATCATCAGAGGTCAGCGAGTCATAATTTAGGAGGTCATTATATGTGCCTAAAACTAATTTCACCACGAACATTTTTTATATCACAGGTTTTGAAGTCGTAGTTATTCTTTCAAAATTATTTCTATTTCTTTTTATTTACATGATAGTTACATAATAATTAAGTATCTTCTAATAGGTTAGTAATAATAATAATAATAGGTACACATCATAAGATATACAGTGTGCGTGTGTGTATGTGTATATATATATATATATATATATATGTATGTATGTATGTATGTATATATATATATATATATATATATATATATATATAGGCCTTAGATACATTCATGTAGATATTACCCTTTATCTTGATAAGAAATTAATAATGCACTCATGATGCTTAATTGAAATGCACACTTTCATCAAAAATTGATTAATGTAATTGATTATTATAACAATATTTTTAAGCACCGTAACACATCTCTTTGGGTTGTATCTCAGGTGATGAAACTTGGCTGTCCGTGCATAGCGGAGGCGCTGCTTCGAGCGGGCGCCGATCCAAACACGCGCGACCCCATCCTACGACTGACCGTCAGTCACGATGCCGCGCGAGACGGCTATCTGGACACTCTACGGGTGCTCGCGCAGAACGGTGCTGATGTCAATCTCCCTGACAACGACGGCAACCTGCCTCTGCATCTGGCGGCGCGGGAGGGACACCTGGCTGTTGTGCAGTATCTCGTATCTGACTGCAGCACGCCGCCTTTTGTGCCTAACGCAAAAGGCTACACGCCTCGTGACCTGGCGCTCATGCACAACAAACACAGAACTGTGGAGTGGCTGGAGAACATTGCGCCTTCACAATCCAGCTAGAGATTATGACTATGGGCCTGTGTGTTTTGTTGTGTAACAGAGGTAGCAGACAAACGCTGAATGAGCGATTTATTGCATTGCAGACATTTCAGCCAACTACCTCTCATTGCATTGTAAAATATTGGGCTCAGGGGCGTGTCTGTTTGTGAAGAACAATTAACATTTCAGTTGACATTGCATGTTATTCACATTGCCCCCAATTTCAACTGGCTAAGTGGATTACTTTTGATTATATTTTTAATAAGATATTTTTCAGGTCATCTAAGTCTCCATTTTAGTTTTGTATTGATAATTTTAATTTCTTTCACTAACTTCCAGGC